GTTTCCGTCATCGTGTTGCTCCTTTTTAGGACCAGGTTGCGGTATCATTTGTAGAAAAGCTCGGTTGCCTAGGTCCAACGACGCGAGTGTCCAGCTACTTATGGAACGCTTCGCGTGCACCGAAATTGTCCCTACGATCGTCGAATAATTAATACGACCGTTGCGAAAGAACGGTTCCCGTCATCGTGTTGCTCCTTTTTAGGACCAGGTTGCAGTATCATTTGTAGAAAAGCTCGGTTGCCTAGGTCCAACGACGCGAGTGTCCAGCTACTTATGGAACGCTTCGCGAGCACCGAAATTGTCCCTACGATCGTCGGATAATTAACGCGACCGTGCGAGGTGAGAAGGAAACGAAGCTTAGGATTAAACGCGAGGGTGAGACGATACGTGCCTCCTTCCCGCGGATTATCCCCAGTCGTCGTAATCCGGATCACGCGAATTCGCGAAAGCTTCCTTCGTCTTACGAGTTCTCTCGCCTGGAGGTCACGAAACGAACGCAAGTGGGTTATCGATCAGGCGAATTAACCCGACGCACGCAGTTTTTCCGTCAACCTGCGGCCCTGTTTTTCCCCCTTTTCCACGTCCCGTTCCTCGAACAGCCGCGTTACGTGGCGCACGCGCTAGACACGCATTAGCCAACTTGCAATTCACCCGATTAAATTTTTACCCGCGCTCACCGCGCCTGCGGCTTTTCAGCTCGTCCCGCTCCGCGCCAACTGATTACCCTGTTTACCACTCGCTGCATGCGAGCCGCGCAATTGCATAAATAACGACGGTCGTGCACGCGAATTAAAATTCGCTCGGAAAAGTCAGGGACGACGCGTTCGCGTGAAACCCTCCGCGAAAATCGATCCTCTCCGACGACCACTTTTCATCCAGCAACGTGTTCCACTTACCACGGCGAGATTGGAACGTCTCACATGGGGTCCAACGAGGCGATATCTGTTCGTTCTAGACGGAGAAAAAGGGAAATAAACGAGTATACTTTCATCGACTCGTTTCGTTGATCCGGGTACTATAACAGAGACTCGAGTTCGTATTCTATGACGATGTACGATTCTACGTATATGCAAATACGTGCACGCGCGTCAAAGGTCGATATATCGAACCTAAGGCAATCGGTTAACGCATACGCTGAGTCATTCTCGTCGCGTCTATACCCCATTACGTCTTAAACTGTTTTCCGATCTTCCGACCTAGGCTAGTTCCACACGCGACACAATTGGATCTATCTCGCCTCCGGTTCAGTATGTAGAGATAGTGGAATCTTTGACGCTTCAATTACCGATACGAATATACCTCGGTACTCTACAGAAAAGCCGAACTCTGCTGGAATGCTTGGAAAACGATTTTTCTTGAAATCGGTAGCGATGCGAAACGGTGGCGCCGCGTCGAGTCGGGTCGGAACGAGTTGAAGACTCGTAAGGCCCACGGGACTCGCGAAGAAAATTGGATCTATCTCGCCTCTGGTTCGCTATCTAGAAACAGCAGAATCTTTGACACTCCGATTACCGATACGAGTATACCTCGGTACTGTACATAAAAGCCGAATTTTTCCGGAATGCTTGGAAAACGATTTTTCCGGGGATCGGTAGCGATGCGGAACGGTGGCGCCGCGTCGGGTCCCAAAGAGTTAAAGACTTGTAAGGCCCACGGGACTCGCGAAGAATCCCGGCGTGACGGCCCACCTGTTTTGTCCACCCGTTCGCTCGTCCATCCGTCTGTGGCCCGGTTGCGCCCCAGTTGGCACAGGTGTTCCTTTAACTCGGCTCCGTTCGCTCCTCTATCTCGCTCCATCTCCGCCGCCCCTCTTTTTGTCTCGAGGTGGTCTCTGTCGCTCCTGATCGCGGTCCTCTGTTCGTTACGAAGCGCCACCGGGACCGAGAGTGAGCGTATTCGTAGCGAGAGGGACGAGGATGGAGGCCGGTGAAAATGACGGATCGGCGAGGAGTTACGGAGCGACAGCCTCGGACGGATGAACGGATAAGCGGGGCCCAAGCGGCGATGTGCGAGATCGTTGGTGCGTGGCTTAGGGAAGGTGGATCGATGGAAAGATCGATGTATGCATAAGCATGCCTTTATGGAAGGGTGGAAGTATTTGTTAAGCGGCTGACGGGGAGCGGAGTTCGTTATCGGCTCGGACTATTAGAGGGAATTAATTCATAAGTAGATCCGCGCCGCTCGCTCCGCTCGCGGCGTCGTATTGTTTATCTACAAATCGCGCGTTAAACGCGGCACGCATAGATATGCAAAGCGGCCGGCGGAATTCATTAGGAGGCGGCCCTCGTTTTTCATCGACGGGACCCGAGCGTCGTCTTCGGAGACCGGGCTCGAGAAACAGATGTACGCGTGTACGCTGTACGTACGAGTACCTACGCGTGACCCGCGGATAAAGAGACCGCCTGCGAGCGAGCATCTGTCCGGACGCGTCGAGCGGACGCGTCGAGACGATATATCGCGTTGGACGCAGACGTTACTCCGGAGAGCGGAGCGAAGCGACGGACGTTTATTAATTAATAGGCCTGTCCGACCGGATATACCGACACACGGCGCAAAACAATCGTCTTTCTCCGAGGGAGACGTCGTTGAAAGGTGTGCTTACTCGATCGTCACACGTCACGCGGTACAACTGTATTCCAGGAGAAAAATGTTCGCGAGCTGCGTTTAGCCTACTGGCCATTCTACCCGCCATTCTTCCGCGAAGCGGATTTCTTTGAAATCGTCGATCGAGCGTGCGCGCCGAGGGCCAGCCGCGCGGATCGCAAGAGGAATCGACCGCTGCGAGAATTTATTGCAGCGTCTGCCACGCGAACGCATCTGTCCCCCTTCAGCCAGTCTTTATTACATCGCAAGAACATAAGAAGTCTCTCCACGGATATTAGCCCCGACCGTATCTCTTCTTCGTGGCGGGTGCGCGCGCGTCGAGGGAACATCGGGCCCAAACCCCGTCGCGTAGTCCGATCGCGTTGGAGAACGAGAGTAGGCTACTCGGGATTCGTGCTGGACGAAAAATTATTCCACGGAGGGTCAGGGAGTTTAATTACGGACTAGCTCGCCGAGATATGCTGAAAGGTCAGGCCGTGAACGACCGAATCTAGATGGCGCTGGACGGCCATGCGACCTCCTCGTCACGCAGTCCTCTCGATCACGCGTTTCGCGTTTCACGGTCACGGGACGGAATCTTCGTAAATGCGACTTTCTCTTGCACGACTGTGGAATTAAGTCATCGGAAACCACCTCCGCCTATTCCTTTTTCCAACGAGCGTCCCCGTTGACGAGCGTCTTCCTCCAACGAATCTACCCCCGTTTACGTAGGCGCAGGTAGCGATAAAAGAAACAACAGCACGCACGATGGGACCGGTGAAAGACATTATCGCGATGTTCCACGTAGATGTATCGGGGAAAGGGTTGCGCGTTCGCGGCAGTGAGACCCGATAGATCCTAGGCGATAAGCGCCGCTCGACTGGCCCACCGAATTCATATGCATGAGCCCTTATTATATGGTATTAGCTATGCGCACAGGTGGTTGCCTCGGTTAGCTAGGATACGGCCTTCTCGTTTAATATGTAACACCTAAGCATACGAAGCTGCGGCTGCTGCTACCTCTTCTGCTTCTGTGGATCAAGCTAAACCGCTCGTGCGTCATTATTAGCTGCCGCTGCTGCCCTCGAATTATTTAGGCGTCACACTCACAATAGCCGCGTGTTCCGAAGGATTACTAACAGCTTGACGATCGAGTCGCAGACGTTTCGAAGAAGTTTCGGGTAACGAGCACCGTTTACCGAGCATTTCAGTTCCGCTTTTTAACTTTCAAAGCACTCCACGATTAAGATCCTCCGTTAACGGGCACTTCCTCTCGGGGTCGGAATTTTTTCACGATCATCCATGAGACTTTTTAATACCAAACTTTCGTTGCCCTTTTTACTCGCCCTTAGACTACATACGGGAATTTTTTCAATAGAAACGGACGAAGATTGTGGAAAATATAAGCCGACAATGACGAGCTGGGTTCAAGAAAATTGTGCATCAGAGGCTGACACCATTTCGACCGTTCTGATTATCCGAAAAGGACAAGCGATGAAGAATTTCTTACCCCGAGGATAGAAAACAGGTCAATTAACTAGAGATTTTAGAAAATGGCGACACTTTACATTGGAAATATCGATTTCCGTCAACCTTCTTACTCCTACTGTGCTCGGAGGAAACAGAAAAACGCGACAGAGCAACGTTTCTCGAGGCTACCGTTCAAATTCGAAGTAAATGGAGAAAAACGAGTTTTCCAAGCTTGGAATTCGAAGAAAAGGCGAAGAAGGGTAAAAGGGATATTTAACCCCGAGGAGTGGAAGACCTCGTTACGATTCTGAAACAGGAATCGTCAAAGAAAAGAGTACCGGGGCTGTCGTTACGTGGGCCAGGACAGGAAGAAGCGGAGAAGAGAAACTTGGCGATTACCAGACAGCCAGCGGCACGGCCGGTTGCGTTTCGCGTTCGGCCGTTTCCCGGGTTGAGAAATCGGCATCGGCCACGTCTGCATCCGGTCTCAGCCGCGTTGAATCGACTCGCGCGAGACGACTTTCGAGGCGAGTGGATGTTGGCTCGAGGGAAAGCGGCTCGCAAACGGAAGGGCGGGCCTCGGTCTTTTTGTGCGCCCTGACGTCCTCGTCGAAATAAATGCGTCCTCGGTGTCCCTTTTGTTCCTCCGCTGCGCGTAGCCTTTAATCTTCGCGTGTACTGCCCGGGGTCGGACACGTCGGCCCTGGGAAGTCTTTCTCCGGCGTTTCTGCGGAAAACGGGAGACTGACAGCCGCGGAGAAGTCGTCCGATCGTTTCTTACCTTTTGTCCACGCTCGCTCGTCCAGGTGGTCCCCGAATGGAACTGGGTTAACTGGCTGACGTGTCGACAGAACCGCGATCGAGACCCAGTCGTGTCGCGGATGCACGAAATTGCAAAGTGCAAAGAAGAATCGTGCGTAGAAACTGCAGAGGCGAATGGAGTCGCGGTGGTGGTCGAGGTTAGCCGGTATGCGCAGGAAAGATGGCGGCGGTCTCTCGCTAGGTGCAACCCGGTGAACTGAAAAGAATAATCGTATTAGAATGGAATACGTTTAACGCCGCTGCAAGCAGCGGACAATGACGCTTCCTAAATCATGGTAATTTTCGCTCGGGAGGATCGAGACGCGACGCGTATGCGGGAAGAATGGATTCCCGTTGGGAGAAAGTTCGAGAAGGCGATAAAGGTTTGGCGCGTTTCCTGGAAAAGGCGTAAACGAGCTGGCACACCGGTTACACGCTCCCTGCCTCTATCATAACGTTTTTCGCAGGACGAGTCTGAACAAAGGACGAGGAACGGCCGCGACAGAACAATTAAGCGCCGAATATCGCGCGTTCCATGCAAATACGCGCGGTTCACGCTCTCGTAGCCGCGACCAGCCGAGGCCGTATTTACAACGCGGCGCACGGCTAACTTATGCGAGGGCCGCAATTAGCTTAGCCCCCTCGACCGTCGCAAAATTACTTACGATACAGCCGGCGTGTAGAACTATCGGCCCGCGGATCGCATAATTCTACTTAGTACGCCGGCGATCTTATCCCTCCGGGATCTAAGAACGCGCACTGTCGGGGTCAAAGGAAGAATCATTACCCCGTTTTTTCCCAATCTCTCGCAGTTTCATTACTCCAAGGGGACAGGCGGAAGACCGGAAAACGGCAAGGAACAGCATGGCGGGTTCGATCAGCCCGATCCCACGAGACATAGCGACGCAGGAATACCCGGAGACCCGAAATCGGGTCGTCGCATCGACAATCCTATCGCGATACGCGAGGGAAAGCACGCGAGTGTCGAATCGGACTCGTAATCGGACATTCGCGGACGAAAAAGCGAAACGAGAGAGGGCGTTCTTTCAATGGCGGCGGCGTCGGTGCGATACCCGAGCAGTCCGGTGTCGAAGCAACGTGGCGGTAATAAACAGCGAACTGGAATGGAAAAGAATAAAACGGAGCGGAGACGACAAACCGAGACACGTTTGGCGTCTCGGTTGTCCGAGCGAACGGAATCGACATTACCGTTCCGGCGAGTCGGTGAAAAAAGATCGCGGGTCGGGAGACGAACGGAGAGGCTGGGAACCGAAGCCGCGGGAGTCGGGTCCCTAGCCGATAGCGTGGAGTCGCGGCTGGCTGCCGCGTCCCGGTCACGCGAGCCAATCGCGGCCGCGCTCTCCCCACCCCGGCGCGCGGGTCGATCCCCGCCTCCCAGCGTCACGCCTTTCACTGGAAGCGGCCCGGCACGGCGAAGCGGTGCCCGGCGAGCGGTAACACAATCGCGGCGAAGCAGCCCCCGGGGTCCCGGTAAAATCAATAGACCAATGGCTACTTGGACGCGTGCGTACTTAACGCGCGGATGACGGACATTGCCTCGTTGCCCGGCAGGCGGCCGCGACGGTTCCTCCCGCCGGAGGGCCGGCACGAAAGGCTTGCGTGGAAGTCACCCCTCGACCCCGCCAGCCCTCCGGTGCGGCCCAGGCGCGCAATCGACAGCGCACGAGGCGGACGAGCGAGGGGCAGTTTCGAGCGCGGATACGTGCGAGCAGCAATTTAGCCGAATCATTCCTGTCGCATGATTTATCACCGTCGCCCTTTCCAGCGTGTACAGCCTGCCTAGTAATAGTAGTAATAGCGGTGGCTCGTGGACGAAGTTTCTCTAGTAGTGTAGGCGAGCCGCGCTCCGACGACCATGCAAAGTGTTCGCGATAAATCTTCGTTCATGCTACGTGCAGCTCCCCGTGGCTCCCCGTGGTCCGAGTAATCGTCGCGATATATATTTTTTCCTTTCTTCCCTCCTGCCGCGTACTTACCACCACGCTTCCCACCCTGCGTCGCACACCACCCCCGGCACCACCCCCTTCGTCTGCGTCTCTCTGGTTCGCGGGGTTCCCGCGCCAGAAGAAAGGACACGCCGCGCAGGTCGCGTGGCGCATTGCGTGAAAAAGGAACGCGTCCTTAATTAAATTAGTCACGAGTTCCTGCCGCTTAGGTCGCCATGGTGGTTTCTGCCACGCGATAGTCGCCGAATAGACCTTAGTTCGGGTTACCCCGGTTTCCTTCCGATATAGGGATACCGGCGATACTCGATCCGTGGTCGTCGGCAAATTTACCTAGGAATGTCCGACACCGCGACCTCCCCGAGGCCCGTGCTGGCCAATAGCGGACGTACGAAAAAACTCGCTGGTCGAACGGGGTCAACGACTCGGTTATCTCCGGAGCGAAACGTCCCGGCAGCCGAGGAAATTCTTTCGTTCAGCTGTTCAAACAACGGGGTAGACTAATCTCGTTAACGACGCGGTTGCTGATCATCGATGCGCCATGTTTCCAGGTTTAGACCAGTCCAGTCACCCGACCATCTTTCGAACGCGTTATCGCGTCAGCCGGAATTTGAACCCCGTCCCGGGCAAAATAAACCAGTCCCGAAGCCTCGTTCTTGGGCTGCGAGTGAACAGCTACGGAACATCCCGGGGCCCGTTCCACGCGCGTTAGAAACGTGTTTCGAAGAGGAGCAAAAAGGATTGGCCGGGCTTTTGAATAGCTGCCATTCTTCCGCAGACTTCCGTGGGGTCATTCGACTTTGAGCCCTCCGGGTAAGCGAGGAGGCAGTTTAGTGGTCGATGGCTAAATTACTGTGACCGCATCGTTTAGCAAATTTGGGGAGGCGCAAGCGAGGGGACCGAAAACGGGCGGCCCACGACAACCGAATCCTAACAGGATTTTTCTGACAGAACGAGCACCGTGCAAGTCACGCAGATATCGCTTCACGCGTCCTTCCGCCATTAAATTAGACAGACACCGTCCCATCGGGTATTAAATCTAATTTTACCCGCTAATAGAGGAAGCATTCACGCGTTAAACGGTTCGCTTTCTAAACGCCGACCGATTTTCGTTCTCACGCTAAATTTCTAACCTGAGAGCACCTCTCGCGTCACCGGGTCGCGGAATCTATCGAAATTTATCAAAATTTATCCAAATTTATCGGAATCTTCATCCTTGACCTATCGGAGCCCACTCGACGACCTCGAAATTCGTCGACTAGATTCAAAGCGTTCGCTAGAGAAGAACTTTTTCGCTATAAGAACGCAACTATTATTTACACGATCGCGGCAGGATC